GCACCGACTACGGACTGGGGCACAGTACTAGCACGACTCGGTCTGACTTACTTATTAGTTTCATAGCCTTCTGCGGCTGCGCATGTATGTACTATATAAGGACGACCCTAGTAGAGGGGAGTTCTTTAACCTATTCATCTCTGATTTACCTCGTCTATCTACTCGTGCTTGAACTAGTCCTTTCAGCAGGACTAGCTTCCCTTATCGATACCTAGAACCTTTGACCGTGTAGAATCGCCACTACACCAGACCTTTGACCTAGAAGCAAGGCTTCTTAGAACACGGCCGATCGCACCTGTGATAGCTATCACACTTGCACCAGAACGCGCGTCCACTCTTGAATCTCTATTCAAGCCTGGACATTACATTTGAATAGGTTCACCAGCCGTCGACACCTCGACCTTCTCCAGGAAGGTCATTCGCCGTCACCACGGGTGATCACAGAGAAGAAGTCCCCGTTGGCGTCTACCTACCACCGCATACTAGTTGGACAACTTACGGAGAAGAAGGCCAAGGAGATTGGGCCACAACACAGAGACCACCAGGAACCCGGTTCACAGAGAAAAGCTACTATTGGATCAAACTAGTAAACAAACACTGGTACTACGACGACACTGGTGAAGCACTATACAACGGAGTAGAAGTCTTTAACTCCTAGTACAACGATTTACGAGGATTCAACGAACGAATCCCCTGGCACATTCAGAAACCTCAAGGAGCATACTTCGACAAAAGACCTCAAGCTTTGGAAGGTCAGAAGACACATCAACCGAACTCGCGCTGAAACAGAAGATCAGCATCAGCCCATATTTGTCAAGAATAACGTTTGGTACTTCGTCAACGCACCAAACACCCCTGTAGTAGCAGGAACAGAGCCAACAGCCGAAGAAGAAGAACCAGGCCCACCGGCACCTGCTGAAGAAACAGCACCACCGCCAAGGTCACCGTCACCACCACCACCTAGGCCAATCAGCCCAGCAGCATCAGACATGTCTAACAACGACGTCAAGATCAACCCGCCGAAGGAGTTCGACGGAAACAGAGACGACACCTTAGAGTTCCTCACAGACTGTGAGAACTTCATCAATACACTTGGAACCGCCAAGTTCGACAACGACACCAAGAAGATCGCATGGACCCTGTCGTACCTCAAGGGAGGAAGCGCAGGACCATGGAAGATCTCTTTCATCGAAGGACATCCCACGGGATACGGAACATGGACCGAATTCAAGGACAAGTTTAAAGAAGTATTCGGAACCATAGATCATGAAGCCAAGAACCGCTTCGCCCTCATGAACCTCAGACAAGGAAACACTTCAGCAGACGACCACGTCGTGAAATTCCGAACGTTGATTGCCAGATCAGGCATCAATGACAACGTTTCACAAACCACTTTGTTCCAGGCTAGCCTTAACGACGCGTTAAGAGCCAAGATATACAGCCACGACCCGTTGCCTACCACTATTGAAGAATGGTACAACAAGGCTTCCACACTCGACCATCAATGGCAATTCGCCAATTCCATGAAGAGCGGCAGCAGCTTCAGAAGCTCTAGACCTACCAGAGACACCAAGGTCAGGGCGGTCAACCTTAATTTCGCGGAACGCCAGAAGTACATCAAGGAAGGACGGTGCTTCCGATGTGACAAAATCGGACACCGCGCCAACAACCCTCAGTTCCACCCGCGAAGCGAAGCTAGACCTTTTAACCAGGGCGGACCCCGCCCCAACACGTTCCAAAGGGGCCTGGGACAACAGATCCGCCAGACAACTGCTGCGCACCCACAGGAAGAAGAACCTCCTCAAGAAGGCACGGCTATTCAAGAACTCTTACGTAAGATTCAGAACATGAACACCGAAGATCAGGACACTGTCCTCGAAATGTTCAGCGACATGGAAAACCCTCAGGGTTTTTAGGACGCCCGTCTTTTGCGACGCAATTACGGGCGAAGTTACGTTTCCCTCATGATGTATTGATTCGGGCTAGCAGCCTATTTATTCGTGCTAACGCTGCTCAGCAATCTATGCGATTTCCTATTTACATCAATGGAGGAAACAAAGACGTCGAAACCAAGGCCTTGATCGACTCAGGAGCCACCGGATTATTCATTCACTGGAATTTTGTCAAGAAACATCGGATACCAACCAAGACATATGCAAAGCCTCGCATAATACGGAACGTCGACTCTTCCCTAAACGTGCTAGGGAAAATTACCAACTACGTCGAAACCACGATCACCATCGGAGACCATGAAGAACAGGTCCACTTTTCAGTCACGGACCTAGGAGAAGATGATGTCATTCTCGGACTCCCATGGCTACGGAAGCACAACCCGGAGATCGATTGGGCCAAAGGACGAATGTTCCTTAAACGATGCCCTCTCAAGTGCCAACTACTCATGAAACGGAAGCGACGACAATCCAAGAAACCCGCCAAGGTGATTCGCCCTCACAAAGTGGCTCAGATCAAGGGAGGAATGAGGAAAGGACCAGTTCACATCGAACCTCCCACACTTTTTGCCAAACGGATCAAGGCAAAATTAGAAAACCATCGCGCGAAGATGAAGAAACAAGAACAAGGACGACAACAACAGGAATACCTTCGATCCTTCGGGATCGAAGAAGGAGACGAAATATGGTGGGGATTAGAAACAGAAGAAGAAGAAATTATCAGACGAGCCTCCAGATCTACTGAGCTAGCGGAAGAAGCCAACAAGGGAAAGAGAGACAAGACTTTTGAGGAAATTGTACCGGAACCCTATCGATCATTCTCTAAAGTCTTCAGCGACGAAGAATCCAAACGATTCCCCACATCCAAACCATGGGATCACCACATCGACCTCAAACCCGACGCTATTCCACGAACGACATGCAAGGTCTATCCCCTCACACCTCAGGAACAAGAAGCTTTAGACGAGTTTCTTAAGGAACACCTCGAACGCGGAACCATTCGCAAATCCAATTTGCCACTCGCATCACCTTTCTTTTTCGTAAAGAAGAAGGACGGAAAGCTACGACCAGTACAGGACTATCGAAAACTCAATGAGATGACCATCAAGAATCGTTATCC